GCCTGGAGATCTCCCAGAAATCTCCTGGAATTCTCCTGGAGATCTCCCAGAGCTCTTGCAGAGCTCTCCTGGAATTCTCTGGAGTTCTCCTGGAGCTCTCCTGGAATCCTCTCAGAGCTCTGTCCTGGATATCTCCCAGATATCTCCTGGAGTTCTCCTGGAGCAATCCTGGAGATCTCTCGGAGCTCTACTAGAATTCTCTGGGAGCAATCCCGGAGCTCTCCCGGAATTCTCACGGAGCTCTCCCGGAGCTCTCCTGGAGATCTGCAGGAATTCTCTCAGAGCTCTGTCCTGGACCTCTCCCAGAAATCTCCTGGAGTTCTCCCGGAGCAATCCTGGAGCTCTCCCGGAGCTCTCCTGGAGATCTGCAGGAATTCTCTCAGAGCTCTGTCCTGGAGCTCTCCCAGAGCTCTTCTGGAATTCTCATGGAGCTCTCCTGGACATCTCCTGGAATTCTCTCAGAGCTCTGTCCTGGAGATCTCCCAGAAATCTCCTGGAATTCTCTGGGAGCAATCCTGGAGCTCTCCCGGAGCTCTCCCAGAGCTCTCCTGGAATTCTCTGGGAACAATCCCAGAGCTCTCCTGGAGCTCTTCTGGAATTCTCATGGAGTTCTCCTGGAGATCTCCTGGAATTCTCTCAGAGCTCTGCCCGGGAGCTCTCCCAGAAATCTCCTGGAGTTCTCCTGGAGCAATCCTGGAGCTCTCCCGGAGCTCTTGCAGAGCTCTCCTGGAATTTTCTCAGAGCTCTCCTGGAGCTCACCTGGAATTCTCCTGAATTCTCTCGGAGCTCTCTCAGAGCTCTGTCCTGGAGATCTCCCAGAAATCTCCTGGAGTTCTCCCGGAGCAATCCTGGAGATCTCCTGGAATTCTCTCAGCGCTCTTTCAGAGCTCACCTGGAGCTCTCCTGAATTCTCCCCGAGCTCTCTCAGAGCTCTCTCCTGGAGCTCTCCTGGAGCAATCCAGGAGATTTCCTGGAATTCTTCCCGGAGCTCTCCTGAATTCTCTCTCAGGGGAGTTTGGGGTCTGCACAGAGAGGGGGAAATAAAATCCTGGGGCTGCCGGGTGTGGGGAAGGAGGGAGAGGAGAGGGATCAGGGAGAGGAGAAGGGAGATGAGGAGTGGGGAAAGGAGCAGAGAAAGGATGAGGGAGGTGAGGAGAGGAGCAGGAATAGGAGCGGGGAGAGGATCGGGAAAAGGAGCGGGGAAAGGGTGAGGGAGGTGAGGAGCACGAAGAGGAGCAGGAACAGGTTCAGGGAAAGGAGTGAGGAAAGCGAAGAGAGGAGCAGGGAGAGGAGAAGAAGGAGAAGGAGCAGGGAGAGGCGCAGAGACAGGAGCAGAGAGGAGCAGGATCAGGATTAAGAGAGGCGAGGATGAGAGAGAGGATCAGGAGCAGGGAAAGGATTAGAGAGAGGAGCAGAGAAAGGAGCAGGGAAAGGATCAGGATCTGAATAAAGATGGAGGAGGATAAGGGAGAGGAGCAGAGAGAAATGAGGAAGGCGAGGAGAAGAGCGGGGAGAGGAGGAGTAGGGAAAGGTGCAGGATAAAGAGGGGTGAGGATCAGAGAGAGGAGCAGGGAGAGAAGGAGGATCAGGGAAAGGATGAGGTGCAGGGAAAGGAGTGAGGAGGGTGAAGAGAGGAGCAGGGAGAGGAGAAGAAGGAGAAGGAGCAGGGAAAGGAGTGGGATCAGGAGAGGATCAGGGAGAGGAGCAGAGAAAAGAGCGGAGCAGGGAAAGGATCAGGATAAAGAGGGGTGAGGATCAGAGAGAGGAGCAGGAGCAGAGAAAGAAGTGAGGAAGGCGAGGAGAAGAGCAGGGAGAGGAGGAGGAGAAGGAGTAGGGAGAGGAGTACGATCAGAGAGAGATCAGGAGCAGGGAGAGGGATCAGAGAGAGGAGCAGAGAAAGGAGCGGGAGCAGGGAAATGATCAGAATCTGAATACAGATGGGTGAGGATTAGGGAGAGGAGCAGAGAGAAATGAGGAAGGCGAGGAGAAGAGCGGGGAGAGGAGGAGGAGGGAAAAGAGCAGGATCAGGGAAAGGATCAGGATCAAGAGGGGTGAGGATCAGAGAGAGGAGCAGGAGCAGGGAAAGGATCGAAGAGAGGAGCAGGAAAAGGTTCAGGGAAAGGAGTGAGAAAGACAAGGAGAGAAGAAGGGAGAGAAGGAGAAGGAAGAGAAAGAGCAGGGAAAGGAGTAGGATCAGAGAGAGATCAGGGGCAGGGAGAGGATCAGAGAGAGGAGCAGAGAAAGGAGCGGAAGCAGGGAAAGGATCAGGATTAAGAGGGGTGAGGATCAGAGAGAAATGAGGAAGGCGAGGAGAAGAGCAGGGAGAGGAGAAGGATCAGGGAGAGGAGCAGGATCGGGGAAAGGATCAGGATAAAAAGGGGTGAGGATCAGAGAGGAGGAGGAGCAGGGAAAAGATCAGGATCTGAATAAAGATGGGTGAGGATCAGAGAGAGGAGCGGGAGCAGGGAAAAGAGTGAGGAGGGTGAGGAGAGGAGTGGGGAGAGGAGGAGGAGGGAAAGGAGCAGGGACAGGAGCAGAGAGAGGAGCAGATCAGGGAAAGGATCAAGATCTGAATAAAGAGGGGTGAGGATCAGGAGTAGGGAAAGGATCGGGGAGAGGAGCAGGGAAAGGTTCAGGGAAAGGAGTGAGGAAAGCGAGGAGAGGAGAAGGGAGAGGAGGAGGAGAACGAACAGGGACAGGAGCAGGAGCAGGGAAATGGTCAGGATCTGAGTAAAGGTGGGTGAGGATCAGAGAGAGGATCAGGAGCAAGGAAAGGAGTGAGGAGGATGAGGAGAAGAGCAGGGAGAGGAGGAGAAGAAGGAGAAGAAGGAGTAGGATCAGAGAGAGATCAGGAGCAGGGAGAGGATCAGAGAGAGGAGCAGAGAAAGGAGCGGGAGCAGGGAGAGGATCAGGATTAAGGGGGGGTGAGGATCAGGGAGAGGAGCAGGAGCAGGGAAAGGATCAGGGGCGGGGAGAGGAGCAAGAAAAGGTTCAGGGAAAGGAGTGAGAAAGACAAGGAGAGGAGAAGGGAGAGGAGCAGGAGGAGAAGGAGGAGAAGGAGCAGGGAGAGGAGCAGAGAGGAGGAGGACAAGGAAGGGATCAAGATCTGGATAACAGGGTGAGGATCAGGGCGAGGAACAGGAGCAGAGAAAGAAGTGAGGAAGGTGAGGAGAGCATCGGGAGCATGGAAAAGGAGCAGGGAGAGGAGCAGGATCAGAGAGGATCAGGATCAGGGGAAGTAGCGAGGAAGGCGAGGAGAGGAGTGGGAGAGGAAGAGGAGAAGGAGCAGGGAAAGGAGTAGGATCAGAGAGAGGATCAGGAGCAGGGAGAGGAGCAAAGAAAAGAGCAGGAGCAGGGAGAGGAGCAGGATCAGGATAAAGAGAGGTGAGGATCAGAGAGAGGAACAGGAGCAGAGAGAGAAGTGAGGAAGGCAAGGAGAAGAGCAGGGAAAGGAGGAGGAGGGAAAAGAGCAGGATCAGAGAGAGGATCAGGATAAAGAGGGGTGAGGATCAGAGAGAGGAGCAGTGAGAAATGAGGAAGGTGAGGAGAAGAGCAGAGAGAGAAGGAGGAGCAGGGAAAGGATCTGAATAAAGAGGGGTGAGGACCAGAGAGAGGAGCAGGAGCAGAGAAAGAAGTGAGGAAGGCGAGGAGAAGAGCAGGGAGAGGAGGAGAAGAAGGAGCGGGAGCAGGGAAAGGATCAGGATTAAGGGGGGGTGAGGATCAGAGAGAGGAGCAGGAGCAGGGAAAAGATCGGAGACAGGAGCAGGGAGAGCATCAGGAGCAGGGAAAGGATCAGGAGCGGGGAGAGGAGCAAGAAAAGGTTCAGGGAAAAGAGTGAGAAAGACAAGGAGAGGAGAAGGGAGAGGAGAAGGAGGAGAAGGAGGAGAAGGAGGAGAAGGAGCAGGGAGAGGAGCAGAGAGGAGCAGGAGCAGGGAAGGGATCAAGATCTGGAAAAGGGGTGAAGATCAGGGAGAGGAAACGGAACAGAGAAAGAAGTGAGGAAGGTGAGGAGAGGAGCGTGGAGAGGAGAAGGAGGAGAAGGAGCTGGGAGAGGAGCAGGATAAAGAGGGGTGAGGATCAGAGAGGAGCAGGAGCAGGGAAAGGAGGGAGGAAGGAGAGGAGAGGAGAGGAGTAGGAGGAGCAGGGAGAAAATCAGGGAGAAGAAGAAGGAGAGGAGCAGGGAAAGGAACAGGGAAAGGAAAAGGGAAAGGAGCAGCAACAGGGAGAGGAGCTGGAGCAGAGAGAGAAGGGAAAAGAGCAGGGAAAGGAGCAGGAAAAAAGAGCAGGGGTGAGGGAAAGTATGAGGGAAAGAATTGGGGAAGCAAGCAGGGAAAGGAGCTGGAAAAGGAGCAGGACGAGGGAAAGGATCAGGACAAGGATCAGGGAAAGGATCAAGGAAAGGATCGGAGAAAAAATCAGGGAAAAGAGCTGGAAAAGAAGCAGGGTGAGGGAAAGGAGCAGGGCAAGGATCAGGGCAAGGATCAGAGCAAGGATCAGGGAAAGGATCGGAGGAAAAATCAGGGAAAGGAGCCGGGAAGGGAGCAGGGAGAGGATGGAAATGCCCAAGGCTGGAGCTCTTCAACCCCTCACAGCCTCCCGGAGACTGCCAAGGTCCGTCCCACACCCACCTCCGCCGGGATGTGCCCCCGGAATGCCGAATCTCCCTCCGGATCTCCCTCTGGAGATGGGAATCCTGCACCACCCCCCTTCTCCGAGCCTCCCACAACTCCCAGCACCACGGGCCCACGCTACACATCCACAGCACCCTCTGGGAAACAGCTGGGAAACAGCAGGAAAACCAACGGGAAAACTGACGGGAAACAGCCGGGAGACAGCGGGAAAACCGACGGGAAACAGCCAGGAAACAGCAGGGAAACAGTGGGGAAACAGTGGGGAAACAGTGGGGAAACTGACGGGAAGGCACAGGGAAAATCACTGGGAAACAGTGGGAAAACCGACGGGAAATAGCTGGGAAACAGCGGGGAAACAGCAGGGAAAACCACCGGGAAACCGCTGGGAAACAGTGGGAAAACTGACGGGAAAACCCACCGGGAAGCCACAGGGAGAACCACAGGGAAACAGTGGGAAAACCGATGGGAAAACTGATGGGAAACAGCTGGGAAACAGTGGGAAAACCGCCGGGAAAACCGCCGGGAAGGCACAGGGAAAACCACTGGGAAACAGTGGGAAAACCGATGGGAAACAGCGGGAAACCACCGGGAAACAGCGGGAAAACTGCAGGGAAACGGTCAGGAAACCATGGGGAAAACCGCCGGGAAACAGCGGGTAAACAGCGGGAAAACTGCTGGGGAACAGCAGGAAAACCACCAGGAAACAGCAGGAAAACTGCAGGGAAACCATCGGGAAACAGAGGGAAACCACCAGGAAACTGCCGGGAAACCACAGGGAAAACCACCAGGAAACAGTGGGAAAACCACAGGGAAAACC